CACACACACACACACACACACACACACACACACACACACACACACACGTACACTCACGAAAAGTAAGCGCACAGCTATTATTTATATGCGTGAATACAAAAGAATTGAAATATTGCACTGTTTTAACGCAGCCCGACTTCCGAGCCAATAGAAATTCATGAATGTGAAACTTTGGTCGGTCGGTCTCACTATCTTCTCACCACAAAATGCATTTTCATTCCAAATGAAAACATGTTACATAAAATTTTATCTATTTTCATTCTACAGCAATTTTGCTTCGGACTCTCTTTCGCTCTCTCTCTCTTTCTCTACACTACGGTGTTTGTACTTTGATCAATTGGGCTAACGAGTTTCACACACAAAAAAAGGTGAAGAAAAAAGCGAGAAAAAAACCCAGCACAAAAGACTATTTTTATTGCTCACCTTTTGTTCAAGCTGCTCGGTTATTCAGTTTTAGCTGAAAGTTGTATGCGATAGGAGAGAGGGCGAGAAAGTGAAATAAATGGTTCGATAGGGGGAATCCCATCGGTTCGTAAATGCTTTTCATGGGATATCGATTGCTCCGTAATTTGTCATTCTGTCGCTTGATTTTAACTTAATTTACATATTTATCTAATTATACAAGTTGGTTATAAGCCGTCGTACAGCAAACCACCCCGTCAGCTTTGCGATGTACTTCGGTGTGCTAATTCCTCGATACCGAGTTTAGAAAATCAATTCGGCTCCTCGCATCTAAAATGGTTCATCTATATTCGTGCAGATCAACTATTTCTGTTTTGCTTGAGTGCTTGTTTTCAAATTTATTTTTTTCTCCGTTGCTGTTGCTCTGTTTCTATGTATTTTGTTTTCGATTTTCGGTCTTTATTTTTGTATGTATTTCGCTATTGTTTTGTCGCAGGAACACAATTCAGTTTAATGTTTCAGCGCGCATCCACATCACATTTAATATTTGTTCTTTCCGTTTCATTTCCTGTCCCCTTCGCCCGTTCGTTCGTTCGTTCGTTTTTGGGTTCTTTTGTTGTTCTATTTCAATAGATCGAAATGTTTGTGTGCACCAGCGTTAAAGTGATGGAGCACACGTTCGTGGAATCTGGCGCTTTCGATTTTTATACCCTGTCACATCGATTTTGCCTGAAACACAACAGAAAATTCTCATTAGCCATTTGCTTGTTTTTTTTTCTCCTGTTCATGTTGTCAAAATCAATGAGTTCAACTCGAACACAGCATGGCATAAAAAATAAAATCATATACACACAAAACCGTTGTGCTAAAGTGAACTGAACCAAATTATTGAAATATTGATTGTGCGATAATAGTTTTTCAAGCATCGAACATCGAAATTATTAAAATAAATTAGATGCGATTGACAGCACGAGCTGAAGTTGAGGCTCTTATCGAGAGGGAGTGAAATAGAGAAAGAGGAGAAAGAAAGGAAAAAGCATTGGCTGTAATTTATTTCGCAATTTAATTGCATGAGACGACTACTGCTAGCTGCAATGGCGGAATATCGTACGTGCAGGCTGTGTGTGTATGCAAATGATTGCTATTAGTTTTCAGTTGAGTGCATTGCGTCAAATGAATATTTTCAACCTCGAACATGTAATACTCCAATTATGCAAATAGCTCTCCAAGCCTAATCAATCTGCCTTGATTCTATCAATTAATTTGTAATAACGATCGAATCATTATTTTCGATGTATATTTTTCAGTTAAGCTCTTGGAATGCCCTTTCACGTTCGCTCCATTTTCTTAATCCACTGCTGCGGCTGCTGCTGCAGTGGAAGTCATATTTTCAAATTCTTTGCAAACGATTATTTTTCGAAGTGGGCTTGTGAATGTCACATTTCCATCGACTGCACTCTCATTTCGAATTTCCAATTCTATTTCATACATACGAACAAACACACAATGAGAACGGGAATGGGAATGGGAATATGAGAACGAGGTAACATTTAAATCGCTTTTTCAGAATATTTATCTTCCGCCATAAAGTGGCCGATTGATTGTTTGCCAATTCGAGCCCGATACGGTTCGATCAAGCGACTTTATTTCCCATTGCAAAGCTCTCATATAAATATTATATGGAAATTGTGAGCGAGTATCTTGAGCGGCATAAGGAACAAAATCCATGGCTTCGGAAAAGCGAGCGATAGTGAGAGCTTTCCATGCATTTTTTTCTATTTCACTTTGCTGTTCGTTGCATTTTATGCATTTTATCATCGTTACTGGTTGGTTTTTTTTCTCCCTCGAATGTGCTTCGTATGTAACGCAAATCGCCACAGGAGCAGGCAGAGTGTGAGAAAGTGAGATATGGAACGGTACAGATAGAAGGAGAGCGTATGTGTTAGAGAAAAGTGAAAAAGGAACACGAAAAAATCAATCCCCATTTTTTTTCCCAAACAACTTGATCTATGCAAATTGATGTTGTTGTTGTTGTGCTTAATGGGGAAAATATGCTTTTTCGCTGCTGGCTTTTGCCTGGTGAGTTGTTGATTCACGTCACTCAAATAAGCCCGTCCAGGAAATGGATTTGGCAAATAAAGAGCAAAGCGCAGAGTGAAAGAGAAGCGACGGGGCAAAAGTGGAAGGAATACTTTTTGCACTATTGTTCTCCGAAAGAATTGTTATGTTTGCACGCCTTTGTGGTGTATTATAAACACATAATAAATTGTAGTGGTGTGTGTGTGTGTGTGTGTGTGTGCTGGCGCTTATTTGCATTCAAATTGATGGGCGTATACAGGTGTATGAGTCCTTTTTATATTCTCTTTCATTCTACATTTATGTGTGTTTGTTGTGAAAAAGGCCTCCGTTGCAATAAGAACGGGTGAGTAATGGAAGAAAAAAGAAGAAGCGGAAAATGCATTGAATATGGCAGAACAACGGCACAAATTATATATTCGCGAAAATTGCATGAAATTTTCTTCGTTGTGTGCATGCAATTCCGACTACTTCATTGCATTCATTTGCCAGTAATACAGCGAGCATCCGTGAGCCCATTTTATTGTGTTCACCTATTTTGCCGCTTTCTCTCTCTCTCTCTCTCTCTCTCTCTCTCTCTCTCTCTCTTTTCTTTTCTTTGCGTTGTTGTTCTGTCGTCTGTGTGACGATCATAGCAACAACAACGACCACGGCACAAATAAGAAACCATCGCAATATTGTTTCGCAGTCATTGTTTGATGCAGAACAATAGCTATATTGTGGTTTGGGTTGTTAATTAAAAATTAACGTTTTTATTCTCGTGTATTCTTTTCCTCTCTGTATGTGTGTGTCTGTCGTTCGTGCGGAAAATGCAGTCCCATTTTTTTTCGGTGATAGTTTGTTCAGCAACAACTTACGTCACCTGTTAAATTCGCATCACGACTATGGCTGGTATAAAATTTCGCCTAATTAAATACAGGAAGCATGATTTCCTCGCCTCTATCGATGAAGCTATCAAAACAACATTTGTGTAGAGTCGACCATGTTCACTCTGATTTATGAGGCAAAACTACGAATATTGCCCATGTTGTGTTTGTGTGTGTGTGTGTCAAAAAATGGCGATGGGGTTTGAAATGCGTGTGTATCATACAACAATTCCCCCGAGCATTTGCAAAACGTTCGGACGAGCCCTTCAATGTTATTTACGTAATCGGTTTGTGTTTCGTTCATGTTGATGTTTTGGGCTGTTTGTTTTTCCTCTCTCACTCTTTCTCCCTCATCTGCTCACTCTTCTTTTATTGAATTTAGAAGACCGTTTTTTTTGCGAGCTTTTTTTTTGTAGTTGAGATGCCAACCTCAAATCGAAAGCAGAGTAACAATCATAATAGTCGTTTTATGAAACAAATGTCATCATTTGCCTTTTTTTTGTAATCTATGCTAAACAACAGTGTGCAACGAATAAAAAATGTGCAAGCATGTATTTACAGAAACACGATCCCGTACATATGTCGACTGAATGGTACACAACACATATTCTTCGTCTACATATTCACACGAATTCGCACACAAGACAGAGGTCGACACATTCATTTGAAAACTATGACAGTTAAAAAAGAAATGGAATTTCAAAAATGCAACGATTCAGTGGAGTGAGAGAAAAAAGAGAAAATGATTGGATCTGCACGATTGCTGCTATGTCTGAGACGTGACTTCCGCACCCATTCGCTCATCCCCGAAAAAAGGAGCAAATTTCTCATCTGTTTGAATATGGTTGGTGGCGCGCACATGTTGTTGGCCATGTGGCCCATTATTTTTTTTTCATATGATTGCGCTGTAGGAAGAGTATTTTCTGCTGAGGTACATACATTTGCGAAAATTGCAAGTTTTTTCCTCGCTTCGGCTTTTTTCCCTGCTTTTTTTATCCTTTTCTCGCTCGCTCTCCCTCAAACACAACGTAATCCATCCGGCCAGGTGCCGATGCATTCAAATTAGTAAATAGCGAATTAATGTGTGCGGTGCGCGGGATTGCATTTCAATGAATCCAATCCGTGGAGCATTATATTCGCCCACCATTTCATGTATTCCAATTCAATTTGATAAGTCAAAGAGATTTAATCTCTGACAGACGAGCAATTGTTTTTTGAATTCTTTTGTATTTGGCCAATTTTTTGACGACGTTGAAAAAGGGAGAAAAAAACAACCATTTTGATTCTCTGGTAAACAGCGTCGTTAATCAGTTTGGTTAAATCGTCAGCACAATGGAATGGTGCAAATGTATGTGTGTGTGTGTGTGTGTGTGTTTGCCATACATAATCTTTGGGGTCGTTTAACATAATGCATTGAAACGATCCCAACAATGGCAAACAGCAACCTTCACAATAAAATCCGAGCAAAATGATGAAAAAAACAGACGATGAGAGTGAGAGAGAGAGAGAATGGGCATTCGGAGATGAGCGTACAAATGAGGCGGTTATTGAAACAGTTTTAAGAATGTGAAATTGTGGACGGCGCTCAGCGCACATCAAACTATACAATTGAAGGAAAATTGAGCCTCAAATCAACCGACCCCAAATTGCTTTTGCCAACCATTAAGACTTGGAACGATGACGAAATACAATGGAAATGATAAGCACCACTCCTTAAAATAGTGGCACATAAAGCGGTTGTCTTCATTTTCATGTTCTTTCACCAAAATAGTTCTGATCCATTATGCACACACACACACACACACAACACACAAATATAAATTCTTAAAGTCGCAGTCGATTCTCGACCGATACAAAGAAACTAAAGGCTATTGCATAAAAGTGATGTCTTTGTTGCTCGTAAATGAAAGAGAGATGCAAAAGAGTTCACTGAAGCAAGCCCAAGAACGATGTTGATGACTAAAGTTAAATCAAGTTTTTGGCTGTCGCATGTTTTGCATAACGCGATAATTTTAAGTCTTTGCAAAAACTAATAAGTAGACAGAATAAAACTTGTCAACGACCTTTTTCGAAATAGGTTTCTTTTTGTTGGTGAGTGTGAGTAAGTTTCAAATGTTGCCATTTCTAATAAAAATCTTCTCTCTGCTTTATCTCTATCATTCGACACTGAATAGAGAGCAGCTATGATCCCGTCGCATGATGGACATGGATGCTGCTTAGGCGTACATTATTTGCTTAAATGTTCTCAATAGAATTCTACAATTGATTAAAATGAACTCATCGTAGCAAATATGCGTGACCAAAATCGTTTTTCACAGGGCCACCTCTTTTGGGTTCCCTTTTCCTCTCTCGCTCCCTTTCTTTCTTTTTACTGCCTTTTTATGCCTTGTGCTTGGGCACACAAGTACTGGATACATTCTTGTGCATTTGTTTATGTGTAAATAAATCTCAATGTAACGTTTTGCCATCGTGGATACCTACTAGTTGTTTTTATTTTTTCTTCTTCCTCTGTTACCACTATAAAAAATTTCCTTGAATGTAATAGGAAAATAATTTGCAGCTATTATGATATAATTGGTCATATTATTCGCTTAATGAAAAGGACGTGTGAAACAGAGGAACTGGAACTTGTTCATATGGTTTCCAGTATATCCCATGCCGCAATGCTTTTTTTGCCCATACCAAGTAATTAATGGCAATAAAAATTAAATTAAAGATTTTCATAGCAATTAACTAGGATTTAACGTGTTCTCTCTCTCTGTCTCACACACTGGTTAGCTACACTGGCTGGCTACAACCACTATATTGCATAGGGCTGAACTGGCTGACTGACTAGCGAAACGTGTGTGTATGTCATACACACATAGTGAAACCGCAAAATTGTAAATGAATGTGTGTGTGTGAAAATTGCATACAAAACAAATTTGCTCGAGATTAATCGATTTACATGAGTAGATGGTTTTGAAATGCACGTAAGCCACTGGAAATTGATCGTTTTATATCGTGCATTTTATGGAAAATTGTATGCAAATACGGCATAGCGTAACCCCTGAAGAATCTATATGTGACCAACTAACACAGTTATTTGATGTGCGTTGTTTGAATATTTAATGCGAGAGTGAGGAAAAAAATATATTTATGGTGATTTCTCATTGTTTCAAGTCCCCCAAAAACCCATGGATACCAATCTCAGCGTTCATATTCGTGGTCGTTGCATGTTCTCAACGAGACATGCTTCACATTTTATGGTTTTGTTTTTGTTTGCGGGTGGTGTTTGCTCTTGAAATTTATACTGAAACCAATCTTCTGGTGATGTGCTTCGTTCGATTGGAAAATCGGACGATACGAGAAACGGCACAGACAACATTGTGCGTCATCTTTGGCAGAGATATGAAAACAGAGTGAAGAGAGTCAAATCGTAATTATCGAATAATTGCTTAAGCCACACACACACACATCGTTCACTCATTCACAATGCTCAAAATGATTTTTATTGATCCTGGGCATATTGAGCTTTCGACAAATATTTATAAATAGGCGTTGATGTTTTGTACTGCTACCATTGTATGGTATCCAGGTGTGAAAATGTAGATGAACTTAATAACGGCTTGAATATTCAAAATACCACAGTTAATATCTATTGTGTTCAACATTTTGTCTTACTATCTGATGTTCTGTATATGTTCACTTGAACAAAATGAATCTGGGATTATGATGATGATGGTGTGAAATGTTGAAATTGCATCGAACAGAAGGACGAACCAACTCCAAGCCATTTGGAGTGAAAATGAAAAGACATTATATAGATGTATACACGCACCCAATTTTTTTTCTCTCTTGTTCCATTCGGTGCCACTCTATCAACGGAAAATGTGATAATGATAAAAAAATGGGGAGAGAAGACGAAAATCGCATTGCTGGAAATAACAAAAACTGCAATTACAGAGAGACAGAGAGTGAAGACAAAATGGAATACGAGAAAAAGGTAGCGTGGTTGCTGTGTAAGAAAACAAGAACTCATACCGAAGCGCAATCGAACCCACACACGCACGCCAAATTCTCTTTATCTCTCTCACACAAACACACTCTCTGTCTCTCTTTCTCTCTCTATCTTCCGTTCGTATAGACAACACACCGCGACAAGTACGCACAGCATCTGTACCATCATCTGCAAAGCAGCCTCACACATTTCTTTTTCTTTTCCTTTTAATGGTTATGTATGAATTCTTCCCAACAGAAGAAGAAGAAAAAATGTCGAACTGTGGATGGCAAATGCTTTTGCTGCTGCCAGCCAGCTCAAGATGTACAGTTGCTCTGACAAACACACACGGCGTCAAATTCACTTGGAATGTCAACCAAACATTCGAACGCTTCTTTCGCACACTTAAATTGGGTTTTTCTTCCTTTTTTCTCTTTTTACGCAAAAGCGAAAAAAACCTTTCTCTCTCTCTCTCTCTCTCTCTCAACTTGTTCTTCAGAATATGATATTTATTAACTTTTTCGTTTTGCCTTGAAATTCGAATTTGAATTGGCAATATAGTCAGTCGCTGTTGAGCTAATCGGCTTGTCGTCGTCGTCGTGTTTTCTTCAATTGCAAACCTTGTGAGCTGCGTCTATTGTTACGAACACAACAACAGAATGAAGAAAAAAAAACTAAGTAAAGAAAAAGAACGTTTTCAACATCATTCACTTACGTCGAAACGCGTTTGCATTGTATATTTAGCTGGCTCAGCTTGCTTTATTTATTTATTTTCTTCTTTGCTGATGAATGATAGATTTTTGCTTTTTTTTCTTCTTTTTTTGTCCGCTTAAATCCACTTTTTCGTTTATTTTTATTTTTCTTGTATTTCACTGAATTAATTTCGTTTCACTGATTCTTTGTGTTGCGATGATTATCAAGTATCTTGTAATTGTTCTGTGTTTTCTAGATATGGCTAGGTGATCGAATGCGAAATCAATGTACCTGGATTAAAGAAAATTTAACCACTATTCATGCATACCAATTGATAAATATTTGATAACTGCACTCTATTTTTTTCCTCTCTGGTCTCCCACTCTCTATATCTATTCCAGCACAACAATTTTGTACACGTGATTTGCGTGAATTTGAAACAAATTACTTTAAATCGACTCAAATGTTTGATTGGAATTGTTTTCGTTTTTGCCTTTTCATTGGTTGTAATGATGATGTTCTTTAGCATTGCATCAATGAAAGTCAAATTGAACATTGCTTGCATTTAGTAAAAGAAAATGAAACAAAAATAAAGAAATCGAAAATGAAAAAAAAAGCGTGCACAATGCACATTGTTGGAGGGACGGTGCACTTTCTTTTCGCACAAATATCTATTTCTTTTTCCGATTTTAAGGATATATTTGTTCGGTACGTGTCACGTATTCACATTTTACATGCAGCCCCTTTTGAGGTGAGAGCATGAAACGCGACCGATTTCTTTTAACCAAATCAACACGAGCAGCAGCAGAAACAACAACAAATGAAGATGAACGAAACAGAAACGAGAAGAGGAAAGTCAAAAATAAAAGAGAAAATGTACGAGACCTGAACGACATTCACGAGAATCCTGATTGTCGCCCTGGCAAAAATATCAGCTATCACATTCAACTGCAACTCAAATCAACTGAGCTTCGAAAATAACTAAACAACACACATATATATATATATATATAGAGAGAGAGAGAGAGAGAGAGAGAGAGAGAGAGACCAAGGCAGAGAAAAGTACAAAAAAATGGCACTTGAAATTTCAGTCGCGATTCATCAAAATTTGAGGTGTACGTTATAGATAGTGAAAATGAAAAGCAGTAAATAAAACAGTACTTGGTTTATCTTCTCTTCTTCTTATTATTTTTTTTTTGGTTTGTTCGCGTCGCGCACAAAAACAATGACGATGTATTGTAAAGCGATGTTGCACACAGAAAATCTCAATAACGACTACCGTTTGTTGAATTGCTTGGTTAAAAAGCTTGACTCGAGTACTAGGATGATTTGGATGGATCGCATGCTGCCAAAATAATTACGTCGTTGTGTGCGTGTGGATGTGTCGGTGCGGCCAACAGTACCAGTACCACCAGCAAAAGCAGCAGCAGCATTCGTCAACATTCAGCAGCAGAAGCAGCTGTATTTGTGTGTGAATTCAAACGAACACAAAAATTTTCGGATGGTTTATTCGGCGCTGTGTAAGGTTATCGTCAGTGTACATGATGACATATGAGATGCACAAGGGAAAACTGTCTGTGCTTTCACGGTTCTTGGTTCGCTATGGCACAAAATTGTGCTTCTTCTGTTTCTGTATTTGGGAAAATTATACGCACACATCCACACGGACGCTGCACACATACGCACACACTCAAACACATCGGTGATGAGGAATGGCATTTATTTTTAGGGGAACCGAATGTCAAACATCAAATTCATTGAATCATATACAGCACCGAGCTGTGTAGCATCGAGTCCGACAAATACGTTCGCTGAAAGCTCGCGCGGACTCGGTTCTCTCGTCGTAAAGATTCTTCTTCTCGTAATTTTTTTTCTTCTTTTCGTTGGTTCCATTTTGCTGACGGGGGACACTCGCACACCGAACAGCACACAACACAGCAACGAAAATAGTAAACCAGCAGCGCTGGTACTTACAACCAAATGGAAAATGTGCTCGATCCAAATGGAAAATGTGCTCAAACCAGAATGGTTCTTTGTATTTGCTGATACAAATGTAGATTCAACGAATGTATATATGTATGTATTTCGAATATTGTTGTGAAACGGGTCTTAGCCGAAGTCTGCTCTCTCTCTCTCCCTCTCTCTCTGTGTGTGCAGTGTATTTGGTGTTCGTGCGCGTTTTATTTTCCAGTCCATGTTAAAATCGTTTTGGTATTTTGTTTTTTTCTCTTCTTTCTAATATTTTTTATTCTTGTTTCGTTACGTTACGTTTCGTTTGCCTATGCTTGGTTGTCGATACCTTATCTTCATACGCTGAGAACGAACGATTCCCCCATATGATTGAAAAATAGAAAAAAAATGACACACAGAGAAAGAGAGAAAGGGTGTGTGTGTGAGCGAGAGAGCAGGAGGAATAAATGAAGAGAAAACGAAAACATAGAAAAACGAAAACATAGAAAAACGCAAAGCTCCGGTGAAATGCCTTTCGATTCCGAATTGATATTGACCTGATATATATTCATATTTGAGAGAAACATTTTTCCCGTTGCGAAGGCTCGTGCTCATGCCGAAGTGCGCGATGGGGAGAGGCAAAGAGAGAGACAGAGAAAGAGAGAGAGAGAGAGACAGAGCTTGTGCAGGAGAGGAGAAGTGTGCCAGCTATAATACAACGTGCCATACGCACTATCACAAAACCCAGTATTTACAGTGCTGCACGTAAATAGTATTTTGATTACGTGTGCGCCTCGTCTATTCAGCGTGTTGAACATGAAACGTGAATTGATATTCTGAAAAGAGCTATGTGCTTTCTCATATTCACCAGGGACTGCTTGTCCCAAATCTCTTCAATTCAACATCTTTTCAACAAGTCATGAGCATAGAACGAAAAAAAAGAGAAAAGAAATGGAAAGAATGAAGAATTTTCAATAAAAATTATAACATTTTCATCAATTAAAGTGACGAAATGTTGAAGTTGAAAGATGTAGGTTGATTTGAACATTTTTGCCGATTTCAATCTTTCATGAAGACGAATGATGAAGAAAAGGGAAGAGAAGAAAAGACCCGTCAACAGTGATGAACATTACGAAGAAACGAGAAGAGTAGAACGAGAGACAGAGATAGAGTGATAGAAGGAGCGAAAGAAGAGAATTCAAATCACGACATCGCTCTAAATTATTATATCATTCAATTGAAATGTGAATCAATTAATGTTGCATAAGTTTCCATGGTATCTCGCGGAAAACTGTGTCTTGAAACGAACGATAATAAATTGGATAGATCTTTTAGAAAACATTCCACAGCACTTATTTCTAAAATGTAAACTTCCCTCTCATCATGAGACGCTCTCTTATGTTGTTCATCGAGCTCTCGCTACGCACATATTTAACAACGTCGTTGAGAGAATCTACACCAAGCAGTCTACAAATATACGACAGCCGTTTTTATGCCGCCGTTGATTATTATGATGAGAGTGGGTAAGCACGAGATGTGTTTTTTTTCTCATCATCTTCTTCTTATTTTTTTTTCGTGTGTACCTTGTTAAGTTTAAATGAAACTTTGCTCAATCCCAAGCTAACGATACATTTCTCATAATGCAAGTAGATGCTGTGGAAAATCGTTGATGTTTACGTTACATGTATTTGAGTAAGGTTCAAAGCGCGAATCAACGCGCATACCCCCTCTTAAAGTGTAGAATATTTGCAGCAAAAATGAGAAAAGTTCTCGTTCATCCATCCTCTGGCCTTTCTCCTCCTCTATCTCCAAAACATGGAAAAATACTCGACAATTTTTAAATGATCAATCCGAAAGCGAACAAGTAGTATCAAATTGTTGCCAAAGAACTTCCGCAACGGACACACGAAACCGTTTCGACTGAAGCAGAAAAAGTGTCCGATGAAATCGCCCATTTGGACGACGATGATGATGCCTTCAATCATACCCATAAATGCGATGTAGTACAAGTTGTATGTATCGATGGAGCTGAACGAAAGTAGCAGTTACCATTTTACATATTAATTTGACTTAATTTGGACAGCGCGCTGATGATGATACTGAGTCCAATCGAGGCGACAAAGTGAAATGATGCCCTTTTTATGGACACATATACACGCACACTCTTTTTTTTCGGTCGTCCTCATCCACAAACAAATCAGTCGGTGTTGCGCTTCGAGTTTTGAATGGAAATGATTTCATTTAAAAAAAAAGTAATACGGCATCGTGAACAGAGGAAAAAAGCAACATGATAAAAACGGCAAACCGAGAAAAAAGGACGAGCATGTTTATGGTAATCTTATCGCAGTGCTGATATGTGTGTGCGTTTGAGATTCACAATTTTAAAACACGCCGAAAATGAAGGGATTCATATTCGAAAAATCCGTATCGTCAAACATTCGATAACAAAAAGGGCTCCAAAGTCTCTATTTAGTTATGTATGGCGTGTATCGAATGTGTAATAGTGTTACTGAAAACGGTTCCCACACTCTTTCTTTCTCTTTCAATTAAAAAAAACCATTTTATCAGCATAGTTGGACGCGTGCGTTACATGCGTTTTGTTTACCGATTCCTAATTGTGCGACCATAAATGCGAATAGAAAAGTGCCTGGCGCATATTTGCCGTTGAAATTTAATAAAAAAAAGAACTGTAATGAATACAGCCGAAAAAAAAAGAGTGACAATGTAGAAGCGGCAACGATGCCTAGGGAATGACTAAGCCCCTTCCACATTGTGGATAAATCTCGAATAGAATTACGTCATTTGAAATGATAAGGTGGCTTGATGTGATACACATAAACGTGTCGTGCTTTGAATTCAATGGATTTCCATCCAACTTTTGGATTTGCTCTGTTGTATATTGACATATTTTGGATCTGATATGAATCGCATGAAAAGGTACGAGAAACGATGAGGCAGAATGATGTCATGTATTTATGCAGCTTGAATGTGCTTATTCCACGAATGTATGGCACATTTAGCCGCCTAATCTATGTGTCGTTGGCTCCGTCGAAATGGCAATGCCAGTTGCAGAGGAGAAAATAAATTTAAAAAAAGCAACAACGACGACGAAGAAGATAAGGCGCCGCTGTAATGAGTCTGTACAGTGATTAAAGTGAAATTCAATCTGTAATTTGGGAAATTCGTCTATTGTTGTGCCGAATGTGTGTATCATGTTCACGTTAAATCCCAATCCGACGTGGTTTATTTCCCGTTTGTTCACATTTTGCAAACATACTTGCAATAAATGGAACGAAAGTGAGTAAACTTCTAGCATAATACACACGCACCGACGCAAACACTCATTTCTCGAACTGAGTTAGTTGTGTTTGCGATTTGTGCCCAATTTAATTACGGCTTTCTAATACTTCAATAGCAAGTGAATTGTATTAGACACCTTGTTTCAGGGTGTCACCAAAATGAATGTGGGCGACAAATGCGAAAGCCTCCCATTTTTAATGTGATAATTTTAGCGTCTATCTCTCACTCACTTACTTTTGTTCGGATGATCACATCAGCAGTAACAGAGAGCAGTGTTGATGGCGCCGACAATGGCACTAATAGAACGAGCCAACCGAAAGCACAGCACAAATTGCTCCCCATTTGTAGCCTTGGCTGGGAAAATGGTCGTCGGATTAGAGAGCAAACACGGATCAAGTGGTTTGGTCATTCGGATTCACAAATAGGCATTTCGCCGTTGAAATAATACAATGAATATATGCGAGAGAGAGAGAGAGAGAGAGAGAGAGAGAGAGAGGGAAAAAGGGAAAATGATTACTCGGCATGTACTAGAAGCGCGCAGATAGCGTGTGCTACACTCGAAAGTGTTTGTGCGAATAAATTTCCGAGAATTATGCGTACAAAAGTTAAACTATCACCCTAAAAGCATATCCAACAAACAGAGAAAATCTCCAAAAATCATGTACATCCGAAGCGAAAATGATTAAAACTTTTCATCTCGCCCGTCGCCGTACTCGACAAACGACCCATTTATAGCTGATGCACAAAGAGGCACCAGGGCCTAGGCTACTTACTGGTGTTAATAGACGTATGATGTGTATGTGACGCGTATAAATTTTGCACGCTGCTGTCAAAGAGTGCCTGTGTACAACGTTTTGTTAACAAGTGTAACGTTTAAAGCACATCGGACAGACAAACGTAAGCATTCCCTATTAAACGAGTAAAAAGAGAGGTCGATAGGTCATGGAAAATGATGACGTCAGCGTATTTAAGGGAGAAAGTAAAACCATACGTAGTTTTCTATGGATTTTGTTACTGGTGCTTCTCGCTTTATTTTCTTCTTCTTCTTCACTTTTGTTTAAATTCATCGTCATCGTCATCGCATAATAACAATACAAGGATAGTTGGATGGCTTGCGCCGTGCACCTTACTGTGCACATTGCATTTGGATTTTACTTTAAATTTGATATTGAAGTTTTCTGGGCATACTTGCACCAAGCACATGCATACACAGACCGTCGGGCCCAGCTTTTGCTGTGTCGAAGAGAGAATTGACATTTTTGTTCGGTTATTATTTAGCGAATATGAATTTATGATTATTATTTCCCGAGCACACCCCAGCTGTTGGCTGAAACTGCATTTCGCTATAGTCAATTTTGCAATGAAAACGAATTGTCTTCCTCGAGATGGAAACGAAAACGGCGACGACAAACTTGTATGACTTCCAATTTGGTGAAATATGGTACACACTGGTGCGTCAGCTGATAGTAATGTTTGTGTAGCATTTGTGGCACATCTATTTCAGGCTCATGGCATTGCATACGTGGTGGCGATGATCAAGGAAATTTGCTCACAATTATCAAGACAATTTCAAGCTCGATGCTTGACTATGCACATGCCGCAATTCGAATCGTGTGTGCGATTTTTTTCTCTCTCTCCTTTCGTCGATTCATCACACAACTTCCGCAAAAGTATTTTACACTCTGCACCCAATGGATTTCATACGCTCGCAGACGAATCAACTAACCAACCAGCGAACGAATGAATACACGGATGGGCGAACACACGAAAATGCACGGAATATATATTTCAATGAAATCGGCAATGATCTTTTGTTTCAGTGCGAATAGCGTTGTCCTCATATGAACGCACATCATCCGTAGGCACACACAGAACAACAACCAGTGTATTCTTTGTGCACGCTGCACTCGACTCGAAAGACAGAGGCTATGTCGTTGAATACAAGCGTGGCCGTGGCTGTGGCTGTGGCTGCTGCTGCTGCTGCTGCAACAGCGAAACATCTCCATCAATTATTGAACGCGGTGCGGTGGTCTGGTCTCGCTTTTGCGAGTATTCTGTTAATGCTTTGCCGTTCCAAGATAATCACAATGTCGATTTTTAAGTCAGTCGTTACAAAGCAGTGAGTTTGCGCACATCGATTAATACGTTTCACGGTTCATTGTCAGTTAGATTCGAGAAACAGGAAAATTGGACGCCGTGATCGCATTTCAAGTGAAATTAAAGGAATTATTTTCTCTGTATTGCTACTAAATTACGTTTATATGTGAAAATTTCGTTGGATTTTCCTTTGTTTTTTTTTCAACAAATTTAAACTCATTTTAGTTCAAAAAGTCGTGAGTATTTGTTGAAGTGGCTTTTAATTACCGTTGTTCGCACACAGGATTACACACATATATAGAGTGAGAAAAAGTTCGTGCATTAGTCATATATGCTGCGTGCCAGTGCTCTTGAGTCACATCAATTTGATGGCAAAATTCGGCCGAATTTCAAACCCGCTCTCGCAGTAAATTTAATTGAATAAGACAAGCAAGTTGAGCGGAATTTTCGGCAAAAATGGCATTAAATTCCGTATTTTATATCGTTCCATTCAACGATTCCAATGATTGATGAGCACTAAAATGCTAACGAATTAGCTCATTGTTCTTGATCACCACCATTGAATGTGAATTTTAATGTGTGACTAATTCAAATCCTTAATGAATAACGACAACGACGACTCCTCATTCACATTATATATGCTGAAATCATTCCAAAATTCCATACGCACATCGAATTTTATCCACGTTTGTTAATTAATAAAAAATTAAAAAAAATTCTATCCACATTCACACCAAAGAGTGTAAACGTACGAGAACCGAGCAACAGATGAGTTTCGCGAGAATTTTTGAATACAAACTCATTATAAAAATTGCACGAAGAGAAAATTAACCGTTTCAATTGATGTGATTAGTAATTGAGAAATGACAAAGTGGGAAAAGTCACGCAGACTGAGCATAAATTAGACAGGCAAATGAGCACGATTAAATGGAGTGAGCAACGGTAATGGGTCATAATAGATGACATTTGTCAATTTTTGTTCACGTATATTGTTTGTAAAATCGTGTATCCCGGCTCGGTTTGGATGTTGATCAACATCAACAACGAATAAAAACGATTTTATAAACTGTTTGGCAATTGATTCGAAGAGGATGGGTCGCAAAAACGACGACAACGACGACGAAGATAGAAAGAGAATGAAAAAGCAACAACAACAATAACAACGGGCAAACAAATATTCAGAACTAGCAAAACGAATCCTGCAGCAATATTTTCGTAGAATCAATGCAAAATATAAACGAAGAATGTTCATGGGATGGAGAGGGAGAGAGAGAGAGAACGATTCGATGTTTTATTCATTGTTTCGCGTTTTGTCGGTTGTTTCTTTTTCACTCTCGCTCGGTTGGTTTCTTAATTCGGTTCGTGTTATTTATTTTAATATTTTCCCATTTGCAACTATTTGCATTTGTTCGAGAGTGCGGAGGACATGCGGTGTTCTATCGACGGTTCTTTCTAGTAAGAGAAGCAGTCGACTACGTTTCGTTCCATTCCATTCCATTTGTGTTTACATTATTTTTCTTTTTGATTTTGTTGGTTTTTTTCTCTCTCTTTCCGTTTGCGTTCTGTGTTTGAGATGCTCACGATAAATACACAGTGCTCGAAATCAAACTACTTTATCGCAATGGTACTTTGTGTAAGAGCACATTCAAGCGACGAGACATATATTGACACCAAAGGGTTAATGTTTTCGAAATGTTTCTTTTTCTCGCCATTGAGACTCCAACGAAAACAAAAGCCAACCGAATCGATACCGAACCAACCGATGAAATTTAAGAAATGAACCGAGAGAGAGAGAGAGAGAGAGAGAGAGAGAGAGAGAGAGAGAGAGAG